TGGAATTGAGTTTTTCGAAGTTTAGATAACCTCTGCAATCGGGAAACATCGTCTAGGTAGGATTTTTTATAAATATTTTCAAGATTTATTATGCCATAGTAAACATTTCTCGTATCCATTTGTTATTTTATTTTCTTCTCGAAGGCCAAGTTCAGGCAGTTCGAATCCGCCAGTTTCAAGGATAACGTTAGACCTCGAAGTATAAATTTACAATAGTGGTTAATTTATTATTAATGGCTCAATTTAACTTTAATTATTATTTTTTACTAAATAAAAATAAATTCCTCGACACTGAAATTATTATATTTTCAATATACGTCAGTGTATATAAGAAACAAAAAAATTCTTTTTACTCAAAATTGAATTAAATTAAATTTAAGCATGCAAATCTGAACTGCGCAGAATTTCCGTTTAATGGCCCATATTATTTAACATCCTTCAATAATATTGACATTAAATTGGCTCAATATAATAATAATTCATAATATGATAATTTGATTGCCATTATTTTATTTGTTGATAAAAATGAAGTATTCTAAAATTTAAAGATGGTTTTAAATTTACACAATTAAAATATTCATTTCAGTATTTCAATATGTTGGGATGTCTTTATTTATTTTTATTTTTTTTAAATTTTAATAAGTTAAATATATTTTCGTGTTCATGTAATTTACGTTTGGTTAACTCAAGTTCTATTGAATTTTCCCCGTAAGAAAGCTATTTTTACTACTAATTTTTATTATTGATTAGCGTTTCATCAATCAACGTTTTCTTCATATGTAAGAAATTGATTAAATATATGAAATAATTATTAAAAATTAACTTTATTTAAAGTATATTTAATTGGGTGTGTTGTATTGAATGAAATTTCCCATGTTTTTTTTTTTTGTGAATGGAAAGATATAAAAACATAATAGGGTATTATTGTTTTTTTCATCTTAAACTTAATTCATGTTTAATCTTTGATTTATAATAAAAATTGATTTGTTAACTCTAAATACCTCGTTTTTGAGAATCAATTGGGTGTACAGAATCACCTGGTTATTGTAAATCACGAAATAAGGAAAAATAAAAACGTATTGCTAAAACAACTTTATCTATATAATCACTTTAAGATATTTTTTCAATGTATTTTTTTTCTTTTTTTTTCTTAAAATCAATGAGGCTGGATAATTTTATGCATTTGTTATCTGTCTGATTGCACTTTTAGTGATAATGCCAGACGTGGCTTTTGCAATAGTCGGCAGAAGATGGGCTGATTCAGCAGTGTTCCGGCTCAGCAAATGTCTTATCGACCCCAAGGAAACCGCTCGTGTCAGTTTGTAATAAACCTTCCAATGTATTATTTTCTAGATTATTGGTGCAATGTAAAAATATAGTAATGTAATTTAAAATCCATTGAAAAATAAATAAATAAATAACTTTTAAAGGTATAAATAAGCTGTCATATTTATTTATACTTGGCAGGAAAGAGAATTTGTCATTTTTTCCCGTTTATATATCCCCCCCTCTCTCTCTCTCTCTATATATATATATATATATATATATATATATATATATATATATATATATATATATATATATATATAGTGCCAGAAGCAACGCCCTGATCATGACCTATAACGGTAGAAATCGAAAAATCGGCAAATACAATAAAATACTATTATAATATATAATATTATATATTATAAAGGAAGGGGATGGTCCGGGGTTGCGGTCATAAATAGGCTAAATAGTGGTAAAACTATTTTATTGGAAGCCGACGTTTCGACCCAACTTGACCCTACACACCTCCCTGATGAAGACCTGCAAAGTCGGGTCAAAACGTCGGCTTTCAATAAAATAGTTTTACCACTATTTAGCCTATTTATGACCGCAACCCCGGACCATCTCCTTCCTTTATAATATATAATATTATATGTAAACCGCACCACAGACCAACTCCTTCTCAAAATAAAAATACTATTATGAATAAATAAGAAACAATCTGGCCGCTGCTTGAAAGTTTTCTGATATTAAATAAAATTCAGTAGAATAGATATAGTGTACTTTACCTCCAGGACAAAGATATAAACTATAAATTTTCTCTTAATATATTATTAAAAATTAGTTTTTATATTTTAACGTTTGTATCCTTTATATTTTATTTTTTTGCTTAAATTCACTCCCGTCAGTTAACGAATCAATAAATAATTTAGTTAATAGATGAATTAAGTACGCAGTAATATTTAATGAGTTTGTTAAACATTTCTGGTTTAGCAATCGTGTGTATTTATCAGGGTTTGCAATAAAAGTTTAAATTTTATTTTGAATCAATTTTGGTATGACTGGAATCTTTATTTTAATGTTTGGCTTTTGTTATTTCGGAATTAGAAGTATTTCTATTGCTACTTTTTAAATAAAGGTTTTACAGTTCATTTTCAAAGACTTATTTAAAAGTTCTTTTGATTTGAAAAAAAATATATTAGTAATAAAGATCAGTTTTAAAATGGCTTTTATTCTTTGCTACTCTAACGAATGACTCATTAGTATCAAGTTATTTGTTTAAGATAAATTATAATTCTAAGTTCAATAGCTGTTTCATTTTACTTTAATGGATTTTTTTTTTTAAGAACTTTAGTTAAACTTTTTCCATGAACATAGAACTTTATCACTAAGACGTTTCATCTCCTGTTTTATTATTCCCCGCACTTAGTACATATTCGTATCGGTTTTCACGCACAAAAATCAAAGCATTTTTCTTACTTATATATTTTCTGTAATTAGATGCTATAAAACATAAAACGCGTTCGGATTAAGATCGTTGAAACTTTGGCAGACAAAACCCATAGAAGTTTACGAGGATTGTTGGGTCGTAAAGGGAAACCTAAAAGAGGGGATAAAGATGAGATCTTGTGTAAGATACCTCGGCTAACATTCTACCAAAGTCGTTAAGCCGAAACTTTTATTACGGGCTTAAATCTTCGTCCCTCAGTCATGGTGGAACACTGGTCTGGTGTGTTATTAAGATGCTATGTCCCATCTGTGGTAAATTTATCTGTGGATCGCCCCCTGAATTTGTTGTTAAAATGTTTTCTCTTGAAAACAACTTAAGAACATATGTACGATGAGCAGTAAATGATAAAAATCTTTATCAGGGATTTCAGTTAATTAGACGGTCTGTTGCAATCTTGTGATCCCGTACTGAATGAAATTTATTAATCTTATTTACTTTGTAGTTTTTGAGGATTAAGAAGAAGGTACGGCCTTTATATTTTATTTAGGTACAAAAAACAACTAAGAAAAAAATGATCAAAAATTTAACCAATACAATAGTTAACATGAGAGCTTGTAACTTTTTAAAAGGCCCATATATAGTAGTTCTAAAAAATATAAAACTTTCTAGGAAAAAATTTTTTTAAGTAAATGAATGAAATTCAAAATTTGGAAAACAAAATTTAAAGGAATTTCATTCAAGATGTTTTTATTGGGGTAGCCGACGTATGGACCCAAACATTTGTGTCATCCTCATGGCTATCGTTTGGAAGTCGAGACAAGAACTCTCTTTCCAACTTGTCTCGAATTTCAAACGATAGCCATGAGGATGACCTACATGTGAACTTTTTTGTAATAAAGTTCCTGATTTATGGTAAAACTTTTATTAATTTAAGTTCTTAAGAAAAGTTCCGTTAAATAAAAAATAAACAGTAATTGGGCTTTGATTATTCACAATTTGCCTTAAATGGATTAATCGCCATTCTAATGTGTCATTTATTTGAGTAGCTAAAACTATAAATTTAAAAAAAGTAAAATAAAATTTAAGCTTTGATAAGTTACAAATGTTGCTGCAAAAGTTTGAAAGGGGATATAAAGCTAGAAAAGAGAAGAAGAATGAACCTTAGACTTTAATAAATGGCGGCTGATTTGAAGAATATTAGGCAAAAACTATCGACAATAATAATTCCAGTGATACCGAAACTTTTTTTTAATATTTTGTTTTCCGTTTGAAGCCCTAGTTCTCACTCCATTGTATTAAAAGTTGAAAAACAAAACGAATAAAAAACAACTCTTTTCACGATGTCACTCGTCCATAATGTTGTTTAGGAGCCATTATATCAAACGTGTGAAATGATAAAGCGGAGACTCTAGTACCGCTAATAATTTTATTGATTAAGTGTTAATTATCTCTTCTTTATTGGTTGTACACGTGTGAGAATCTCAAGATATCTCAATGTCATTCGCCATTTAGTTCGAGTAATTAAAACTATTATCATATTAATGACTTCTGAAGATTGTTTCCTGTTTTGTTGTTTCTAAAGTATGGTATTTTAGAATTTCCACTTGTTTTTGCCAATAGAAAAATACTGAAAATAGATGACCTCCTGTGAACATGAACCGACCCTTCACTTCGTACTCTTCAAACCATATTGACGGAAATGAGAATGCATTTATTTCGTGCACATTAATAATAATACATTGGTACTAGACCGTATGGTTCGACAACCGTGACTAAGGAATGTATTCTTTATTTAAAGGTTTGTCTCTTCTTGCAAGCTTTTATGGGAGTAGTCTTTCCGTTTTGGAACGGTCCGATACCTGTCGCTTAATGGCGAACAATTACTCACTGCTGTCACTGAATCATGGTCCTTGAAATTTTATTTTCAGATTAAATTTAAAATATTTACTTTTTGTATTCGTTTAGAGATAAAATTCTAATTGAGTCCAAACGCATCCGAAATACTTCATGTACTGCGGTTAAAATACACAACCTACTATAATCAATAAAAAAAATTTTTAATCCTTGAACATGAAGCATTTCGTTAAAGTTTATGTATTCATTTTCTTTAGAATTTTAAGTCGAAATTCAAAGTAACAATTTAAACATGAAACAAAAAAAAAATCAGTACTGAATTTCATGAAGAACTGAATTCCAATTGGAAATTCGGCAACGTACATCCTTATCATATGCGTTTACATAAACCATTCCAATCTCTCTCGGTTGAGTCGTTTGTTACTACGCTATGCAATCGCCGGGTTTAATGCTGTTGGCGCCTGGAAGCAATAACACGACCAGACGCGATATCGCGCCGTACACGACTCCCTTAACGGACGGCCGTGTCCCCAGGCACGCGATGCCCCGTCACCCATTCACCAACCCCAGCCGCCTGGCACGTACGATTCGCTCTTCTACTGTCACTCGTGCTACACCTGCCTTTTGTTAGTTCACTTTTTGCAGCGGATGGTTCTTATGTTGTGCTGTATGAACCAGCTCGCATCAGCCGTGAATCTTTTTTTTTTTCTTTTTTTTTTTTTTTTGGTGTTCTTGATGGTACCCGCCTCGAGAAGGAAAACAATGTACTCAAAGAAGAAAAAAAACCTAAAAGGAACCAGGAACGCGGGGAAGGTACAACATGCCACAAGACTGAAATAATAAACACGCCATTAGCCCGCTGGATGTGGAGCGTGTTGTTGCCGGGATGGGTTCGAAGGACGTGTCCAAGTCGCTCGCTGATTCCAAACACCACTTTCCTCACTGGGTTCCTCCCCTTGACCCATTTTTTAACAATTCCGAGCGGACATACTTTGAGCTGTCCTATAACTTGAATTAAATATGAAGTTTCTATCTAAATGCAGTCTATTTCTGCTTATGCTTATTCATAAAAATCTTTGAAAAAAACTCGTTTCACAGATACTAAATTTCCCTTATTTGTTTGAAGTCCGATTTCTGACAATTAATCTCCCATAAAAATAGTGATAATTGCTATTGTTGATAATCCAAGATTTTTTTTTTTTTTATGAAGTAGTGAATATTTCATTTCCACAAACTTTTCATAGATAGAGTTCATAGATTTAGGAAATTTTGCATTCTGTTTGACATCCCTGTTTGACATCTTCATATATTTATATACGTTCTAATAATAAGGCTAAACGAATAATATAGAAGATTTATGTATATATATTATGGTATATATTTACATTAATTATGGAACTTAATGGATTGGAAATGCTAGAAGCGAAGATTAGAGGAAGTAATGAGCAGTTTTATATAAATCTGATTGACCAAATCAGAAACAGCAGATGATTAGTATTAACAAAAGGGTAGATTCAGAGAAGTCTATCCATCTATAGTCGATGAAACGTAAACCTACTTTTTCCCCCTTCAAGGTATTATATTTATATTTTATATAAACAGTGCTAGCAAAAGTATAATTTAAAAACCCGCAGATCATACACAACTTGCTGCGGTATGTTTCATGTTTTTCCTTTGTCCCCCGTTATGAAACTTTTTATTGCGACAATTCATAATCCCGTCACATTTCAATCCTCCTCCCCCCTCCCTCACTCAAACAGTTTGATGGGACAGCCTACGCCATGAACCTCCTTTAATTGGTAGAGGCATGATGTTATGATTAACAAAGAATAAACATTAATTTGGTCTACTTTGATCAAATATCAAATTGGAAGATGGCTTTTGATTTAGGTTAATGAATGGGAGGGCTCTGGAAGCTCTCCACACAAAGATGTTGGCAAGTTGAGGAATGTTATTCTTGGCAGCAGTCGACATAAGTGCGTTCTGTTGACGCGTGGGCCACATGTGCTTGGCTTCCCTCCAGGCTAAATAGTTGCATGGTATCGCATAGTTTCCATCGCTTTGTCTCAAAATATTCTCTTTCGCTGTTTCTGAATAACTATTACGGACCCTACGCGGTCATTCGGAATTGCATTCCGAGGCACTATTAACGTCCGTGTAAGCTAATGATTGAAGTACTGATGTACGTGGCTGAAAATCCGGTTATCAAAGGTTCAATCACGAGAAGTGGAGAGGAGACTAACCATACTACTGGATAGGTTAGTTTACCTAGGCCTCATAACCATTGCACATTCCTGATTTTCATTGAGTAAATTAAGTTTAAATTTTTACAAACCATTTTTAACTATTCTTTTTTTTAGATAGTCAAGTGTGCAATAAATTAAAAAGAAAAGTGGAAACTTCACAATTTACTTATAGAAAAAAAATCTTTAACTGTTCTGTATATTTGTCAGTTCTTTTTCCATTCTTCTTAACAAATTGCTATACTTTTCCTTAATTTTTGTAATAGTTGACTTATATTTTTTTAATTTTTGTCAAAACGATTTTCAGACACTAGGAAGTAATTATTATATCTCCATTTTTCTCTTAATGTCCAAAGCTAAAATGGATAATTTCCAAATAAGCATTTTAAATTAAACAAATTATTGAGTAGGAGCTGGTCGGGGGTTGCGGTCAAATAAATACTAAATTTTAAAAAATAGTATTTTTAATTGTTTTTTAAAATTTAGTATTTATTTGACTGCACCCTCCTTCTCATATTATATCACGGTCAACCATATCTACATCATTGTAAACACATTATTATAAATGGACAATGCACCAGATCCATTCTGCCTGTTATCTCAATGTCAACTGAGCTAAAATAGCATCAGTAATGATTGAACGTTTAGGGTTCATCATGATTGGAGCAATCTTGTGACTTTCATTCACGACTGATCGTGTAAGGTCTGTTTATGGAAGGAGCAATGCAGGAAATTATGTTTTAGCCTGACTGGATTGTTATCAATTATGCAAGGTGTCTTTTGTCCGTGTCATTTATTATTTATGAAATTGATTTAATGAAGGTATTTGTTGAAGCCATTGTAAAAGAGTCAACGAAAAAAAAAAAAATTGAATTAAGCACTTTTGGTTGTTTCATATAGACTGTTCTCACTCTCATTTTAACAATATGTTCATTAATTAAGTATTATTAACCATCTTTGTGTTGTAGATTTATTAAATATACACTTACTGTAACCTCAAAGTTATAACAACTGACCACTTTCCTATTCCCTGTCAGTCGGGTTAGCGATGGAAAGCGAATTTTTTCAATTACACCGGACGAGAAAGTACTTGGGGTTTCCCTCTGGGGACTTCCTCCATCGATTCGCCTCTCTCCGATGTTACCTAGTTCTCAGAATAATTAATTTTTTTTAACTAGGTCAAAACTCGAACTAGGTTCCATCATTCTTTATTTCTGTTAGATACCAGATAAAGAGTCACATTTAACTTAGTGTTCATTAAAAAAAACTCGTGTTATGCCAAGGCATGCTTAGATCTAGGTAGTAGTATTGATAGAAATTAATTTAAGCCTTATTAGTCTCCATTAATAAACTAATTTATTACAAAATTATCGAAATTTTCGCTTCTTCAGAGATAGTATCTTATTTTTTATATTCTTTATTTCCAGATCGGTATAGTGAGCCATCATGGGTTGAATACTATCTGACTTTAAAATATTTTGTCAAATTTTCAACCGAAAAACATATTAAAATTCTCTCAGATGAATTACTGGTTGACACTAATCTAATTATAAATTCAATAAATATCAAATCTTTAAAAAAATAAGGTTATAAAATTATTCGATGTTATTATTAATTATCCTACTACATATCAATAATTAATTTTATTTTGTTTGGTTAAAAAAAAATATATATTAAATTTAAAACTAAATATCAGTAAAATTCGTTTTATCAGTTTTATTTCAGTTCGTTTTATCATATCAGTAATATTCGTTTTCGCTTGTATGTTAGGGATAAACCAGCAGACGTCAATAAATATTATTGTTGATTCTAGATACTGATACTGTAGTCAGTATTGAATCATTACTAGTCTTGTGAGGACAAAAATAAAAATAAGATATTAATTAATTATTTGTTACTCTACATCGGTATAACCTGCAAAGATTGAATAAAGAATTATTTGTTAATAAAAAATTATCCATACGACACAACCCTTAAAATTTTTTATTAAAATAGTTAGTGTTTGTTTTAATATTGTGTTATTACTATAAGGCTCGAGGCCTTAATATTAAAAATAACGGGATAATTATTTTAATATCTTCTTACTGCTAACGTTTAAAAATCTTTTGATTTAACTTATAAAGGGTGTCCCGTAATTGATTAACATAAAGGATATCAAAATTTGTGTTTTTTAAAACTATTTTAAGGGAACTTTTTAGCTGCAAAACTACGCCGAGTAGTTTTTTTAATTTATGAATTATTCACAATTTTTTTTTTTTTTGTAACAGCCACCTACAGAGTACTTTAGTACCTTTATTTCCAGCTGAAATAATTACAATAAACTATTACAAGACTTTTATTTATTATCTGTAATCTGTAATGTTTTTCATTACGCTAATAAATAAAATACAACTTTTATTTATTAGAAAATATTGCATTTTCTATAAATAAATATTTAAAAATCACCTTTAATGATAGTATTAGTAGGTTTTCGGTGATAAAATTAAATGTTTCCATCTCCTAATCCTAATTCTAATATTTACATGCAAATGCATATTTATATTTTTCATATAATTAGTTTTAAAAAAATTTAATTAATAATGGCTGAGTGAGGAGGCTACTATAGTATAGATAAATACACTATGTTTTAGTTGCGACATGTTTTAGTTCTATAATGAGAAATAATATTTTCTTTTTATATCTTTACATCAGTTATTTTTTGTTTGAAGCATATTGTAGATTAAAATTTGTGTGATTTATAGTTGTTTTATAATTTTCAATCAACTATGAAAATATATAGCCTGTGTTATTAGCTACTTAAAAAACAATTAAACACAACTCGCGAGATGCAAATTAAGAGGAAATGATCCTTGGGAGCCTACCAAGAACGTTCTAAGAAAGTTGATTGCGTACATTTTATTTTCTGTCTAAGTTTATTTATATATAATAACCCTTTTAGAGACTGTTGATTTGTCAACTGTTAGTTACATCAACTATTTACACTATGTTATTTTGGTTTTGGGATAATTCGTTATTTTAGCTAATTTTTTTATAATTCAAGATTGTTAGTTGAAGTATATATATATATATAGTTGTGTTAGTTTATTTCTTAATTATATTTATCTCCAATATTCGTTCTTTTAATTATTATATTATTATTGAAAGATTGTCCGTTAATCGCATAGTAATAGTAAACAAATAATAAACCTATAATAGTTTAAATATATTCCGCGTTGAAGTTTTCCTTGAAAATTTTAATTAAAGGATAAAAGTACTGAGTTTGTGATTGTTATAATAAGTAACTGTGAAAAAAAAAACTGTATCAAAAACTTACTCGAAATTTGACTTCGAATTTATTCTCCATCCACAGATTTATTCGTAACCATGTTATCTTCACTTAAATAATTTA